TTCATTTGTTGTATCCCCTTATGGCAGGCTATTTGCAATGTCTAATTAAAGCAAAATCACTTTTTTTGTTTTGTTTGAATGATTGTCCTAATTGTTTTCTTTGTTCCAAGAATTTCAAGCCACAGGCAGGACAAACAGCACCCTAAGATCAGGTTGCCCCAGATCAATGGGCGGAATGACTTTTTTTTTTTTAGGAATGACCCTGGGTTTTAATTATTTTTCTTTGACACTGAGATTGGAAATGGATGCCTAGGGGCTCTGTGAAGTGAATGATTTCCCCTGCTGTCTTTTATCATTTTTAGATTTGCTATTAGGCTAGTTTATCAATGAAAATCACTGGTGAAGGTTAAAACAGGGTGGGGTTTTTTTTTTTTGATGAAATATAGGAAAAGAACACAAATGGATTGTCTCGTTGAAGGCTCATGCTCCCACTGAAGTCTTTAGTCCCTGTGTAAAAAGACCTATAACATCACTGTTTTGTTTCAGTGATACTGCTGCCTACCAGACCAGCATTTCTCAATCTTGGCGCCTTAAAGATATATGGACTTCAACTCCAAAATTCATGGCTGGCTGGGAAATTCTGAAAGTTGAAGTCCACACAACGTCAAACTACCAAGGTTGAGAAACACTCTACTAGATGGTATCCTGCACCTTATCAGAAGTGGTGGTGGTGAAGAGTTTTCCTCCAAATTCTGCATACTTTGGTCTGATTGCAACATTATCTAAAATGTTTATAGACCTCCATAAGCAGTCCTTAAAATCTGTAAAATAATATAAGCTGGAGAAGAGTTTCTTATATATTAAGATATCATCAAGTTTTCTCTCTGGTCAAGCTCAACTTGGTAACAGCATATGCATATGGGCAATTATACAAAAAGTTATTTGCCTCAGTTTTCTTTCAGGAATTTTTCTGTTTACTCAACAGCCCCATCCAACTCCTAAGCAGAGTTTACACTGTTGCTGAACTTCCAAGAACAGCTGAAGTCCACTATGGGCTGTATCTGTTCAGGCTGTTTATATACTATAAACAGTATAGTGGTTCCTTCTAGTGATCATATATTTGTGTATTCATGTGCAGGTAGTCCTCAACTTACACCATTTGAAGTTATGACAGTGCTGAGAACTTACTTACAACTGGTCCTCATACTTATGACCATCCCAGTGTACCCATAATCATGTCATTGCCATTTGTGACTTACCTGGGGACATCTGACACATAAAGTCAATTGGGGAATGCCAGATTTGCTTAACGGCTGCAAAAAAAGGTAGCAAAATTGGTTGCAACTCACTTAACAAATGCATCACTTAGCAATGGAAGTTCTGGTTCCAACTGTGGTTGTAAGTGGAGGACTACCTGTATTTGTGGGGTCCCTGTTGTCTCTATATAATGGATCTTTTTGATTGTTTTATCTGCTGTTTGTTTATGTGCATTTCGTGTATCTGAATTTTGTAAACTACCCAGAATGTAACCGTGTGGGTGATTATAAAGCACTCTTATCATCACCCAAAAACATTTTGCGTACGTATAATTTATCTCCCACAGGTATAGCAATGCAGTTATATTATTACATTCTCCATCCCACCACGCCCAGGTCACTTACAGTTGTTCTCAAGAAATAACTTCAACAAAGTTGCTTCTTGGCAAACTGAACTCCTTAATTCTAATCCCAGCTGTGGAAAGTAGATGTCTTTGGACAGAAAAGATAGACATGTATTTACAATCTTCCCAGTTTCCCCTATCCCTAGGCTGAAAAACACCAGTCTTCCTCCAGGTAGGTTGCAATTTCTTCCAATCGTTGTGGGAGGAGACCCATGTTAGACCATGGTAGCACAAAGTCAGGAATCTTGAAGCATTTTTTTTTTTACTAACACACTGAATGCCATATACCCCAGAAGATGACAGCTTCCCTGCTGGCTGTGTTCCCACAACATGGTTAGACCCACAGTTAACTGAACAAAATTTATGCAATTAATCTCATTTCTGGATTCATGAACTGTACCATGAACTAATCACATGGGTTTCAATTTACACCACATCCAATTTACAAATTGGTTGGCTAACTTGTGCCTCAATGTGTCATGTCAACACAACCACTGCTTTTGCCACTGTATTCTATTTATACCTGACCTTGTCTTTGGGAGCTCAGTGTACACAAAATACACAGGTATTTTTCTCTCTTAACAATAACTCTGTGTGGTAAATTGGTAAGCCAGAGTTAGCTATACTGGTTATTCAGTGCTTAGTATTTAAATGGAGACTTGAACCATGGGCCAAGCCCAGTCTCTTAATCACTGTTTCGTATTGTCTCTCAAGTTCAGGAGATCAACTTAATAGTCAATGCAAAATTCAATTAAGGCTACAAGATTGTATCATTTTACATCATGGTGGTAGGATCAGTTCCACGTCATCTCTTTTTGTTTGTAAGTAGAATGGCATCCCATTCTACTTATCCAATCTATGAACAAGGCCAATTGTTTAAAAATTCAAAAGACAATTTCAGAAGTAGAATAGGATGCCGTTCATCGGCTAAAGCTCATTCAACAGATTAAACCATCTCACTTAGTCTTAACTGGTTAGAACAGCCAGTAATATCATCTTTGTAACTGTTGTTTGTAACAAAGAGAGATGGTTACTATCTTTTGTTCAAGAAGAAAGTCTAGTTCAGTTAGGAGGAGCTATGTTATTTCTGATGGGAAGAACTTTACTGCTATACAGAGGCACTGGGCCAAGTCTTCCATCTGGCTTAGGGTTGCGAGGCAGGATGGCTATTCAGACAAGTGTGTCATTGCTTAAAGCTACAGGTGTATAGAAATTCACCTGTTGCAATAATTCTGTATAACACTTAATATAAGAGTTTATGCCTGGCTCTTTCTTAATCCCAGCTAACACCATTTCTAGGAAACCGAGAAACTGCAAAACAGAAAAAGAGTTTTATTAATCTAGATGAAACCTTAATATATCTTACTAGTCCATGTATGATATGATATACGCTAAATAAATAACTGCAAAACAGAACTCGAGATTTCTTCTTTAGAACTCTGAAATATTTCAGAATAATCAAAGTATTTGTTCCCTGGAGGTTTACTTTGTGTTCTTCCCCAACTTGTCTCAGAAAGAGATTCACTTTCTGAAACCATCTCTACAGTCCACTTCAAACAGGCACAGGGAGCGCAGCTGCAAGATGCACTTAGCCAGAATTCAGTTTACTCAATTAAATTCATTTTTTTAAAAATTAACCTGACATAGTTTTCACAACAGGTTGTGCAAATATAAAAGACGTTCCCTGAAAAATGCGCTCCAGCATGAGTCTGGAAGCTCAGAAGATTAAATCTCTGGTCCCGGTAACCCATCCAAATTCGATCTTGCATCATTATCCTGGGACACGTATATTTGCCTTCATTTGTGCATATACAACAGGTAGGGATTGACCCTGGCCTTTGTTTTTCCCCACTTATTCAGAATAAGTTATTTATTGCGAGTGCCTGTTTGTGCCTGTGTGGTGGAGGAAACTAAAGAAATACTTAATATTTCATCTTTAGCTTTAGGCATCCTTTTCTTAGGGCGGGAAGGAAATAATTATTTACAGAGAGTTAAGGAAATCTTCGCCAACCGTCACCCAGATCTCACTAGTTCATCTACCCAACTTTCAAGGCAAAAGGGACACGCGGTCACCCAGTGGCTATGCTCCAGAGAACAAAGGTTTCCCCCCCCCCAGTGATTCACGCATGATTTCGGGCGGGGCTCAGGTGGGGGCGACGACAAGAGGGCGGGGACGCCCTGCGGGCTTTTTCCTTGCCCTTCAACCGAAACTCGCCTCCCTCCCCCCATCTCGAGGGCGAAAGGGGTTTTTTTTCTGCAAAAGTAGCGCGCGCCATCAAAACTTCAGGGCGCCACCCAACCCTCGTCCGGATCAAGAAAGGGAAGGACGGCTGTCTCTTCCATGGGGGAAAGAGAAGACCGCGGTGAGCCAGGGTTTTACGAAATTGCCCACTGCACGATTCCCCCGTACACCTGTCGTTTCTTACTCGAAAGGAAAGGAAAGGAAAGGAAAGGAAAGGAAAGGAAAGGAAAGGAAAGGAAATTGTTCTCTTTCTCTTACTTCTACCGCTTTATAGCAGGATCTTAAAAGACAAGAGAAAGGAAAAGAAATTTCCTTTGATTTATATGCTTATATAGCATATAAATCAAATTAAAAAAAAAAAACTCAAAGACGAGGGCGGGAGGGATATTCAGGATCTATTGTCCGAAACCCACCAGTTGGGATTAAAATAGTTTTTTTCTTATAGAAGGAACTTCACTTGAGTTTCAATTCCCGAATCTCGGCGGCTGCATGTTTTTTTCGGGATACTTTTTTATTATCTTGAATATTGCTAGCCGCCCAGAGTCATGAATTAGAGATGGGAGGCAATGTAAATCCAATAGACATATAAAGCGAATAAATAAATGAAGATTAACGATAACCGTATTCAATACAGCTGGTTATTAACTTGGGGTTAACTCTCCCTCCCGCAAAGTATATTTGGGATAAGTAGAAACCAACCCAGATTCCATTAGGCACCGGCGCGCCTGAGCGCTCCCTGACTCTCAAAACAGCAGGTTGTCCCAAGCGCTCCGCTAGTAACACGAGGCTCTTCTGAGCTGGAACAGAAAACAGGTGTCGGCTTCGAGTCTCCCTTGTCTCCTTTAAAGCCTCTTAAGATTGGGGACACAACAAAGGTGTGTTGGCGCCACTTCTACACACACCAAACACTCCCTGGTCCGCAAATTTTCAACGCTGATACATTTCAGTTTTCATATCGCTAGATGATTGCCATCAGTGTAATATACAAATGCGAGCATTTAAATATATATACAGTGTGTATATATATATATATACTCTGTGTGTGTATGCATGTATATATGTATATATATATGTATGTATGTGTCTATATATATATATATTCCGTTCATACCATAAAAGCCAAGTATTCCGTCTCCCTCATCGAGATCCGACTCTTACCTGTTCAGTTAGAGATAAAGTTTCAAGTTCGTTTCCACAGCCGGATAGGACGCTGCAAAGGATAAATGCACGCACCTTTCTATATGGGGCCGGATATATACCCCTCTCGTCCCCCTCATCCCTCCCCAAACCACACCTCTCCCATCCCGTGATGACGTCACCGACAGGTGAAACTGGCGACTTGGGACAGGAAGCGAGAGGAGAAACAAGACCCCAAAGCGAACGAGGGAGGCGAGTGGGTGTGGATATCGGCTGTTTGGATGCAACATGCTTGGACTAGTATTGCGGTTCCTCACGTTGACTGGGGTCGAAGGACGAATCCCGGGCTTCAGTGGGGCTTGCCAAAACCTCGCAGGACGAGATTAAGAGGGATAAGTGACTAGTCAGCAGGGACGTTTCTAGGAACTAGTTTCGCGCTGAATCAGATCGCCCTCTGTTTTCTTTGCAGGAAAACAGCGAGTGTCTTTATTTATAAGGCGAGGTTAAGCAAGCCACGACTGGATGCACTAGGTTAATATGGCCACTCTGAAACCAAGGAGTTCTGATGATCTTCATTTAGAAATGGTTTGGGGTGCTCCTCTTCCTTTTAGATGACTTCTGCTTTTTATTTGTGTCTGCCTGCCTGCCTGCCTGTCTGCCTACCTGTCTGTCCACCCAGCCATCCACCTTTCCATCCATCCATCTATCCACTCACCCACCCACCCACCTATCTATCTATCTGTCATCCATCATAAAATCAGAATTCTGGCCACACCTTTTCCAACTAGCAAATGTTAATAAAAGGTATAGGTCTTCATGAATTGCAGCTCACAATACCTTACACCTCTTAATGAACTTTATTAGCCGGAAAAGGTGCCATAGGAACTTTCTGTTTTTTTATTTATTTTTTTATTTTATTTTTTTGTCACCATAGACTAATGTGGCTCTCCTACTCATTCCATAAATGGCACTCGGGACTTTGTCCTGTTATTTCACTGACTTATTTGCAAAGCTTTCCGTCTTTTCCAGCTACAAAGAGACCTTCCGTCAGAGGACCTTGGATTGAGTTTTGGTAAACTGCCTTTTTCTGTACCTGATGAGAGAAGGACCTCTGGCCCCTCATCCAAGGCTTCAGATTAGGGCTCCTGGATGTACAGACAAACAAGTCACTGTTCCAGCCTCAGTTTCTCCAGTATGAATGGAGAATGAATGTACTAGTATTGTTCTGTTTTACAGGATGGTTGTGGGAGAAAGGAAGTCCCCTGATCATGCAGATAGAACATTTAGAAAGAAGTACTGTAGTAAAGGAGAGATTCAGTTTGACGTAATAGTTATCAGGATATAAAGACCAGGAGTCCTGTCTTAAGCAAAGCCGGTGAGATGACACTGGGCCAGTCAACTCTTTCAGATTTAGGAAGGAACCAGTTTTTTAAAAAAGCCTTGCAAAAAACAAAAACAAAACTGCAGGGACTTGTCCAGGCAGTTGCCTGTACTCAAAAACTAACTTAAAGGCTCTACCACCTCCCTCCCAGAAATGTCCCTATATTACTGCTATTGCCATATTTTTTCAGGTTAACTGATGGCACAGAAAAGATTTGGAATTCAGCGGTTCTAGTGCTTTCTGTCCTCTTCATGTGCTCAGAGGAGCTGTTATTTAGACATAGTAGGATCAACTCTATGGATTTGTGTTTCAAATTAACTCTCTAAAGCAACAATATTTGAGGGTGAAGGTTTGTTCTCCAAGCTTGTCGGTTGGTTTCCAAAAATTTCTTTACCAGGCCAGGTAACATCTTCAGCAGAGTTTAGGGGATGTCAGTGTTCTGTTTATAAGGGATTCAGGTGTGGATGTATCAAGTGAGGGTCTTGTGATGGATCAGGTTATATTCGTCAGCATTGCAGTAACAATGTTTGTATGAGAGTCCAGCCTTACCGTTAGACAAAACAGGACAGTTTTTTTCTACTGTCAGATACAAGTAGTCCTTAACTCACAACCACAACTGAGTCCAACATTCCCGTTGTTAAGGGAGACATTCGTTAAGTGAGCCTTGTCCCATTTTATGACTATTCTTGCCACAGTTGTTAAGTGAATCATTGCAGTTGATAATTTAGTTAGTTACCCAGTTGTTAAATGAACCTGGATTCTCCATTGACTTTGCTTGTGAGAAGGTCGCAAAAGGTGATCCCATGAACTTGGTACACAGAAACGGTTGTAAGTATGAACCACTTGCTGAGCATCTGAATTTTTCAGTGCCTTTGTGACTTTGAATGGTCACTAAATGAATTGTTGTAAGTCGAAGTCCACCTGTAATGGGGTCCAAGGATCAGAAATAAGAAATTGAGAAGCAAAGCAAGGTAGCCTGTCCTGTGCCCACTAAATTGCCCCCTAAGGTAGCAGGCTGATTTCTCATGGGCAGCCTACTTGTTATGTCAAAGTAAAATTTGATTGTTGGTATCAACCTTTATGCATGAGCTGGGTAGGTGGGTGCTTTGTTTTTGCTTCAGGCAGCAAAATATCTTGTGCAAGTCTTGTGTGTGTGTCTGTATGTGTCTGTCTGTCTGTCTGTCTGTCTGTCTGTCTGTGTGGGTTGAAGTATGAAGGTGTAAGTGAATGGTGAGTGTCAGTAACTCCTCCCTCCCATTGGTATGCCATTATCCGTGGGTTTGCACAAAGGAATGCAACCCCTGGAATAAAAGAAGTTTCCTTCCTACTCCTCTTTTATAAAAATAACCTTTGCCAAACCAAACAAAAATCCATCTGATCCAGCATTTATGGTTAATCAAGCTCAGTAGTTCCTAGAAGACTAGTTCCTAGAAGACTTAGCGGTTCGCTACCTCCAAACATGGAGTTTTTCTTTGAGTAGATGGAAGCAACACCCCCCCCCCTTTAAAAGGCATTAAAACAGGTAAAACCTCCATTTGAGGCCACAGAGTCTGAAAATAAGAGAGCAGTCCTAAAGATGTGTCCCCAGCAGTTTGCTCTTTTGAACTGCAAAGGGACTTCATTCTTCAATGAAGTGCTTAGGAACACAAAGAAGAGTTAACTTGGAGACCACTAGAGATCTACATTCCTGAGTTTCTGGGACAACAAGGAAGTGAATAAGAAGGTTGGGGGCTGGGAGCCCAAATCCTTTTCGGGGAGGAACAAACAAGGGATCTAAGAGCTATATGCAAGTTAAAACACTTGGGTTTGACCCAAATGCTTTTGAGCATACATGAAGCTCTCTTTTCTTTACTTGGGAGTGACATTAGATAGCCCTCCTGTTATCAAAAGACCCCAATGAAGGAAAGCAGGAGACAGCAACACAAGCAATAAATCTTACTTTACGATTCAGAGGTTTATTTCATGAGCAATTTGGAATACTAACAGCCATCATAACACAACTTATATCAATAACCCACTGCAATGAGGTCCACTGACATAGCTAAGTCCAGCAAGGAGTAGCTATGGCCAGAGGCACTGAACTCATCCCAAGACATTCTTTTTATACTTTTCTGCATGCATTTCACAACTTAGTTCCTTGTTCTGCCTTATTGACAGACAGTCTCCACATACACTCATGTACATCTCAAACCTCTATCCATCGGCTACTTTCAGTTCCCTACTTCTCACAGTTTCAACGTTCTGATTCCAAATATATCTCAAAACCATGTACTTTGTAAAATCTCATTTCACAGAAACAGCTCAGCAGGATTACAAATAGTTTTGATACACCTTGAAATCTTTCTATCTAAACTTTGGTTCATGTAGCTTTTTTAGGGCCTGCTATCCTTCTGAGACTTATGGACACTCCTTTGAGATGAGACTAAGGACTTTAGGGGTACCAATTGGGAATGTGTTTCCTCATTCGGTTGAACCACAACGTGGTTGGTTCGGCTTTAGCATGGAATGAATGTGCAAATCCCGCCTTAGTGTTATGTTGATTCAATATTGGATCCTTTATTTATGAGTTTAGTATTTGTGATAAGCTTAGGTTAGATAAAGGTAACACTGTGGCTTGATCAGGATACAAGCCAGTATGTCAGTTTCTTGGGGTTAGGTATCTGAAGAACAAGAAAGTGTGTATATATGTGTGCACATACATACACAAGAGCATGCATGCACACACAGGAGTTGAATAACCCCCTGGTAGGTGTGAAACTGCCCCCTTTTGGGGCATGACAATGAATGTTGCAAATGTATATAGCTACTGGTAAGAGATCCGGTCCTTTCATTTCTGGGATGGGAAAAGGGAGGAGGAGGAGGAGGAGGAGAGAAGAGGAACAGAAAAGTGGAAGCTGTTCAGAGAATGAGCTGTGGGATGTCTGGTGGTTTAACAACAACATCCTAAAGAAAATCAACAAAGGGAGATTTCCTAACACCCACATTATGCTTGGCCAATGGTAAAAACCAACTAAAGTGCCCTCACAATAGCAAAATAACTTCCAATTTTTTCATGGTTCACCTTCAGAAGTAATGAAAGATGACATGACGTTATGTTCTTTTGTAATGTTTTGTTAGTCCTAAATTGTTCATTGCCTTAACTTAGTTTTTCTCATAAATAGGATTTTGCTACAAAAACTTGCTACCAAACAGAAAATAAAACTTGGTCTCAGGAAAAAATATAAAAGCTAACCTTAGCTTGTATATTTTTTCCTGAGACCAAGTTTTATTTTCTGTTTGATAGCAAGATTTTAAGAACATGAAATTTTGTTTGTGAAGAAAAGATCATGGAATGTGGCCATATTAATCGCCATACCAAAATAATACCCCTAAGTTTGCATCACAAACAAAGCCATAATGATCCTTCCGGAGGCGACCCCAGGAAGACTGACCAGGGCTGTTGATCATGAAATGCTGACCAAGATCCTTTCTTCACAATGACTTTCTACCTCAGGGTTTTTCAAACTGGTTTTCAGCAGAACTGAAAACAAACTGGATGTGAGATAATAAGGGCAAAACAAATCCACCCCACCCCCCAAATATTCACTCAAAGGCAAACAATTTTTTATCCCTAGAGAAGTGGTATTTTTTTTAACCTTGACAACTTGAAGATGGTGGATTTCAGCTCCTAGAATCCCACAACCAGCATGAAGTTGAAA